TTTTGGGAGCTGCAGAGCGTTTCAGCGGGCCGCAGTGCTCACGTGATTCCACCTCCCTGGCAAAACGCAGCCTGTCATTAAAGCCAGCAGCATCCTCCTTCCTGCAAGAGCGTGACCTGCCCAGCGCAGCGCACTGGGGCCTTGCACCAGCTGGAGGAACGCTCCAACCACCGTAAAGCCAGAGCAGAAACCTCGCTGGCAGCGCTTCGCACCGGGCTGTGGATTAATGCAAACCGCTTGACACACTCCAGACCCTGCTGGGAGAGAGCAGCCAGCCACGCAGGAGTTGCAGCCACACGGTGGTACTGACAAATCGTTGCTGATGGATGGATTCCTTGGCCCTTACAGGTTTCCAATGCTTCCCCAGGCAGCATTCTTCATGTGTACACTTCAGCGAGAAGGCAGGGGCCCTTTTTAAGGAGTGCCAGCGTTCAGCTGCAACGCGGCCATCGCCGGAGCTCTCCTGCACTAACCTCTCCCTGAACCACAGCTGCTGAACGACAAGGCTGTGAGAGCCAGCCCTGCTTGGTAGCTATCTCAGGAGAAAACAGGAGGTGCTTCCCAAGTCCCTGAGCAATATTTAGGAAATGCTGTGACTACGTATGGAGAAAACACCCTGCATTCAAGCTGGAAACACGCAGTCCTGTCCGACAGGACCTGTAAAGGTTGTGCGTCTCAGTGCCATTAGCGTGCCCCCGCTCACAAAGCGTGAGTAAGTGCCAAATAAATGCTAAGGTTTTAGCATTCCTTCAGGAGCGATGCTATAAGCAGTCACCCGAGACACGCAGACCTGCCACAAGCTGAGGTTTGTGTATATACGTGCCAGTTCTCCAAGGTGTGGTGCTGACCTACTTCCAAAATGCTCCTGGAAAGGCTTTCAGGAAGCACCGAGGAGGAAAGCCACAACGCTACAGCCCTGCTGCAGCAGGCGGCGCACAAAAACCCCTAAGTATTTAGCGGGGTCAGTTCCTGAGGCCCCTCAGGAACGCAGAGCACTGCTCCTTCCTTGTGGAGGCTGGGGAAACGGGCTCAAATCTGGGGACTGTCAAATCTGGGGCTGTGAGCTCACCAGGTACACCAGAAAGCTGTCCCTGGTCTTTGCTTCCAGCAGCTGGGAAGCAGCAAGGAGCCAGAAGGGAGTGAAACGCAGGGAAGAGCACCGAGTGCGTTCAGCAGGATGTGCGCTGCCTTCTTACAGAGCCGGTGTCACAGGAACTGCTGGTGGAACCCCCGGCTTTGTGCGTTGCTTTTGTTTTTGTGCCTTTGATGTTTTTGTTTTGTTGTTGTTTCCACTCCTCGCTGCTCTGTATCACACAAACGGATTTCAGTGCGGATTTCCTATTCCCTCTGTGACAGCACAACTTTCACAGGCCTGGTGCTTTCTGGAGTGCTTCTACCCCTTACCTGCCTCAATAACACCATTCTCTACCGGACACCAAGCCTTTGCATTTCTGGCCACGTTTCAAGCGAGATGTTTTGGGTTGGCTTTAAACTATTCCCTTAAAAAAACAATGTGAATAAGCAGGAAATTAAATTGGCCATTCCAGTTTGGCTGCCTGGTTACCTCAACCGCACAAAGCAAACAGTATTGAGACGACAGCTGAAACGTATCTAATCTTATCAGGGCTTCTGTGAAAGCACCCTTTAAGTCAGTACCCCTCTAGGTCAAATAAAGGGCACCTTACAAACACGCGTATAGAGGGGCTTTCATTCAAAAACCCTCCCCAGAGCAGAGGGCTGAGGATGGAGGGCCCCAAGCTGCCTTTGAACAGCAGCAGTAGGCAGGTCTGAGTCCAGTTGTTGAAAAAGAAACTCCGGGGAAGGAGGCACTTGAAGCAGACAGCGGCCTGCCATGCCTGTCATCGCTGTGAGACCGCTCCTCTCGTTGCTTTTGTGCCCGATGTTGCCAAAGAGCCTTGGATAAAAGGGGGAGATAAGCCCGAGAGGGGCTGCCCTGACCTCACCGCCCGCTCTGCTACCTGCCGCCAGGGCTCTCAGCTGCTCTGCCTCTTTCAGGGCGCGAGCCCACGCTGCACTCAGCCAGCACTGGCGTAATTCAACCCCCCGTTTCCTTCCCTCAGCTCAGGGCTGAAACGCTCGCACTCCATGCCACCTGCGGGAGAGGAAGGATGCAGCAGAAACACCGCATCATCCCTGTCAGCAGCCCGGGCACCCTTAGTCACGCTCACCAGGAACTGCTCACAGTGCTGTGAGCAATTCTCTCCGTCCTCAAGGACTCGGCACGCTGCTTCCCACAGGCAAAGGCTTGCCCAGGGGGTGCCTACTGGGACTTCGACACAAACAGGCAAGAGGCAGCAGTGCCAAAGCCTGCGGGTGCAGCAGGATTGGGGCTCTAGGAGAGGCGGCTGTGGCCACGAGAACCGTGTCGCTAGCTCCAGCGCTACCCACCTGAGAAGTCAAACAGGAACCTGGGCTTCCACCTCTCCAGCAAGAGGACGCCGAGGAGCGACATGCTGAGGAGAAAGAGGGGTCTCAGGGAGGTGGAGGAAAACAACCTGGAAATCAAAGGAGAAATGGTTAGCGGGGAGGGGGAAGCGAGCAGATCCAGCAGAGCAGACGCATCCGACGGCCACAGAGCGACGCAGCGAGCGCTGCAGGCACCCCCCCGCCCCCGGGCGCTGTCAAATGGCGCCTTTGCCCACGAGCAGACAGCCGCCTGCCTGCCTGCCAGCCCCCAGCGCTCTCCTCCCCTGCTGCCGAGCTCCTCCTCCGGTTGTAAAACACGGCCGAGGCTCTGTAGTACGAGTGCCTCCCAAATCCTCAAGGTGGAGGCTGCAGATAACGGCAGCACGAAGCGCCGGGGCAGGCCCTGAAGCTGAGAATCGGCCTCTCCTCTGGAAATTCGTGGCCTGCTTCTCCTCGCCAGGCCCAGCACCACCCAAACAGCACCCAAACAGCCCCTGCACCTGCTCTTTCCTCACGAGCCTCTCGCTGTTTATTCGGAGCCCAGCACTTAGCAGGCTTAGCCGCTCACTTGACTCTATCATAAAACCTCTCATGGCCCTCAGCAACACGTTGGCTGGAGCCAAGTGCACAGAGCACTCGCACAGCCGCGCGATCCCATCACCCAGAAGCTAATCTCCCCAATTTATGATATATCCGTGACATCTAACTTCATAAACTCAGCGACGGAGGTCCCAGCTGGCCGTGGGCATTCCCCCTTTTCTCCAAGGGGGACGCCTTCGCCCTCTGCCCAGCACCAAGAGCCCCTCTCTGGGAAGGAAGGGCAGCTCCACTGCTTCACCTTCCCCCTCTCCAACCAGCACACGTCCGAAAACAACACCAAAAACACCCAGAACTGGAGAGCACGGGGGTGCAGGGCTGTGCTCCACAAGGCACAGCCAGCTGCAGGGGGCTCCGGGCCACCGAGGACACCCACACGCCGTGACCCGAACGACAAAGGTTTCATCCTTTCTCATGGGACAGCAGCTCCGGGAGAATTTCCTCCTGTTCCTCTGTTTATGGGTTTCAGATGAAGGATACTGGCTGAATCCTCCGTGGGACTGAAAATAATTCCTCCCCAGCCACGATTTTCAAACCTCTGTCCTCCGACAATTATTCTGGGCGCTCTGAATTTCTCTCCCAAACCCTTTAGCCACCGCTGTTCGCATCATCTCCCCCTCCTGACAACTTCAAAGCCTCCGCTCCCTTCCAGCCTCCTGGTTCAGCACCAGAAAACCGCAGGGAGGAGGGGGCAGAGCAGAAGCAGCCCCTTCCTCACAGCCCTCCAGCTCCTTCCCGGGCCCATCCTCCCCCCCTCCACAGCCTCCATCCGACAGGGTGGACGGACAACACCGACTGAAGCCCCGTTTGGGGGCGAAACGAAGCCAAAAGCAAGGATTCACTTTTAAAAATAAAGAGCAAATTGAAGCAGAAACAGGCCCCTGGGGGGCCCTGGGGGTATCCAGGGATGCTTTGGGGGTACCAGGGGTGCACTGGAGGTGGCGAGGGGAGTCCTGGGGATACCCTGGGGTGGTCTCGGGGGGGTCCTGGAGATATCTGGGGGTGCCCCAGGGGTACTGGGGGTGGTCTCAGGGGGTCCTGGGGGTATCCAGGGCTCCCCTGGGGGGTATTGGGGGGGCCTGGAGATATTCGGGGGTGCCCCAGGGGGTATTTGGGGAGGTCCCAGAGGGTCCTGGGGATATCGAGGGGTGCCCCAAGGGTACTGGGGGGGGTCCTAGGGGTAACTGGGGGGGATCTCAGGGAGGTCTTGGGGATATCCGGGGGTACCCCAGGGGGTATTGGGGGGGGTCCTGGAGATATCTGGGGGCTCCCTGGGGGTACTGGGGGGGGTCTCAGGGGGTCCTGGGGGTACCCCGGGGATGCTCTGGGGGGCACTGGGGGGGTCCTGGTGATATCCGGGGGCTCCCCAGCGATATTGGGGGGGGGCTCAAGGGGTCTTGGGGATATCCAGGGGTATCGGGGGGGGGGGGTCCCGGGGGTATCCGGGGGGTGCCTTGGGGCTACCTGGGGGTGTCTGGGGGCGACCTGGGGGGGGGTCTCGGGGGTAACCGGAGGGGTCCCGGCGGTAACCATGGGAGCCCCGGGGGTGCCCTGAGGATAGCCGGGGGTGTCGCGGTGCCCCCCCCGTCTCACCAGAGGCCCCCTCCGAGCGCGGCGGCGCTGAGCAGGCTGTGCAGGGGCCTCTCCCACACCAGCAGCCGCTGCGCCGCCGCCAGCGCCGCCTCCCAGCCCCGCAGCCGCTGCCGCAGCGCCGCCGCCAAGCGCTCCACGGCCGCTTCCTCCTCCTCCTCTTCCTCCTCCTCTTCCTCTTCTTCCTCCTCAGCCACCGCCGCTGCCGCTGCCGCCGCCGCCTCCTGCCCTTCGTCAGCCCGGGCGCTCGCCATGGCGGCGGGCGGCGGGAGCGGGCGGCGCCGCCTCAGCGGGACCGGCGGCCGCGGGCGCCGCGCGCATGCGCAGCCCCCGCTGAGGCGCTGAGGCGGGAGCGGGGGGGGGGGCTGTGCGCATGCGCAGTGAGGGCGGCGCCGCTGAGGCGTTTGCGCAGGCGCAGTGAGGGGGGGGCGGAAGGGGAAGGGAGGAGGAGGAGGAGGAGGAAGGTGGCGGAGCCGGGATGGAGCTGGGCGGGCTGCTGCTGGATGAGGAGGGCGCCTTCTCGCTCAGCGGCTTCCAGGAGTTCACGGTGAGGGCTGGCGGTGAGGAATTGGGGCTCAACGGGGGTCTCAGCGGGGGTGGGGGCGGCCCCACGGCGGTGTAGGCCTCATGGGGGGGGGGGGCTGGGCCTGGGCCTCAGGGGGTGCTCGCCTCACGTCCCTCCCCCCCCCCCCTTGTTTCTCTTCTCAGAGCTTTCCTCATCGTTCTCTTTTTTATTTTATTTATTTATTTATTTATTTATTTATTTCTCTTCCAGTTCCTGCCCCGGCACCAGCAGCTGAGCGAGAGGGTGCGCAAGCGGCTCTACTATGGCTGGGAGAAGGACTGCAGCCTGGACAACCTCTCCAGCCCCGTGGCGGGTGAGCGCCAGGCACCCGCTGCCTCCCCCCCCTGTGCCAAATCCCCTCCCCCTCCCCTGGCTGCAGGCAGCACAGCAGGAAGGGTGCCAGGGCCTCACGGCCCTCGTTCTCTGTTTTATTGCTCTGTCTGGCCCGCTGCTGCGTGTTTGGCAGCTCGCTGGTGTGCAGAGTCCTTCGGGTCGCTTGGCAATGAGGGCTGTGTCCCTGCCCCTAATCCCTGTCCCTTCAGCAAGTCCTCGTGCTCCCAAAATATTGGGGCAGCAGGGGGATGAGGGGCGCCTGCTGCGTGGTTGGCTTTCCTCCTGTTGCTCCAGCAGTGCTTGAGGGAGCAGAAGGAGGCTGCTGGGTTGAGGCTCAGGTGATGGGGGAGAGGGGCCACCAAGGGGTGTTGCTGTTGCTGTCAGCTGCCTGGGCGCTGCTGGGAGGCACAGTGGCTGACACAGGCACTGTCACAAGGGCACGAGGCCTTTCCCCGGGGCTGACTTCATGCCCCGGTGCAGGACGGGACCGCTCCAGGGACGCTGCCAGTGTTGGAAGTTCAAAGGGCACATTCCCGGCAGGCTGTGTTAAGGGCTGTTAGCTCTCAAGATTGCCTCTAGCCCAGGAAATGCCTCAGCTGCAGCAGCTGGGGGGTGGTGAAGGCATGCAGGGAACATCAACACGGGCTTACAGGCATCATCTGCTAGCTGCTGTCAAAAACTAGGTTGTAGGGGTACCGGGTCTGCTGTGCTGCTGCTACCTGAGGAGTTCAGGGCACAGCTCAATCTCCCTCAGCATGCTACGGCTGTGGGATGGGGCAGCGATCAGCTGCTCTCTGTGGCGTGATGCTTCAAAGGCAGGAAGCTGCTGATGTTGGGGTCAGAGCTGTGTCTGCTCAGTGGTGGCTGCCAGCAGTCGTGGGGCTTGACTACCCCGGGAAGGCCCCTTTCAGCCCCGTGCTTTTGTGCTCGGTGATCACTGCGGGCCCGCAGCCATCCCCTCAGCTGCCGGAGCGATGCAGAAAGGAGAGGTGCGGTGCGGTGCTTCCCTTAGGAGCTGGAAACGCCGGGCTGCTGGAAGGAGCTCTGTTCCCAGCAGCAAAACGGAGCTGGAGCTGCCTGTCAGGAGCGCTCCCTGCCAAGCAGCAGCCCCGTGGTGCTGTTGGGGCTGCTCCCAGCTGGTCCTGTCGCAGCGGGAAGCCAGACAGGAGTTGCTGATGCCGTCTGCCAGCAGCTGTCAATCTCCGGCCTGTTCGGTGCCGGAGCGCTGAGGCGCATCCACAGGCGGTGCAAAAACAGGCTGAGAGGAGGAGCTGTGGCGAGGGGAGTCCCTTTTGTGGAGAACACGATGGGTTGAGGCACAAAAATGTGCCTCAAAACCTGCCCTCCGTGGTTCCTTGTCACAGAGGGGAGCCAGCTCCTGCAGCAGCCTGTTTGCCGTCACGGGCTTGGCTGATTGGTACCTGGGAAGCCGCACGGGAAATGAGGTGTGCCCAAACCACGCCGTCCTGCCTGGAGCGAGTTCTGACGTGGCAAACAGGAGGCAGCGGGGTGTGCAGGCACCCCACATCCCTGCCTCCGTGCCCCGGGAGTCCCGTTGCACTCAGGATGCGTCGTTCCTCATAGAGGGAAGCACTGAGACATGATGGGCGTGTGGGGGAAACGGGGAGGGGTGCGGGTGGGCTGAGCCACGCGGGGCTAACCCTCTGTGCTCTTCCTCCGTCCTAGATATCGCGGTGGAGCTGCTGCAGAAAGTGGCTCCCAGCCCTATCCGCAGGCTCCAGAAGAAATACGTGTCCCACGTGTCTCGGTAAGAAGCAGAACCTGGCCCTTGCTGTCCCGTGGCAGCTCTGGTTTCACTGCGACTTGCTTCTGTCCCCTGGGCCAGCGCTGGCTCTGTGCTTACACCCTCTTGCTGCAGCTGAGGACAGCTGGCATGGAGCAGGCAAGGGGGCTTAACTGTGTGTTTGCTGCAGCTCCGTGTAGCTCCGTGGGGAGGGAGCAGTCAGGTTGTGCCGCGGTGGCTGGGACCTTTGCAGCCTGGAAATAACTTCGGGGATGGGGCCTGCCTTGTCCCCACAGGGAAGCTTGCATCTCGCCCTGCTCCATGATGCTGGCCCTGGTTTATATCGAGAGACTCCGGCACCGGAACCCCGAATACCTCCAGCAGATCTCGTCTTCAGACCTCTTCCTGATCTCCATGGTGAGCAGCGTGGGCTGGGGTGTCGGTGGGTTGGGGGGAGGCCTGCGGGAGTGCAGGGGGGGCTGAAATCCTCTCTGTTTTTAGATGGTTGCCAGCAAGTACCTGTACGACGAGGGGGAGGAGGAGGAGGTGTTCAACGATGAGTGGGGAGCAGCGGGGAAGGTGGACGTCCAGACCATGAACACGCTGGAGATGAACTTCCTGAGCGCTATCGTAAGTGGGGCCATTGCTGCGTCCCCTCGGTGTCGCGGGGAGGGGGCAGGATTTCTGCTTCTCCCTCAGCCCCGCGAGGGGCTGAAGAAGGCTGCGGCCAGGTGCTGACCTGTCGCTGCTGTCCCCGCAGGACTGGAGCCTCTACACAGACCCCCGGGAGCTGTTTGAAGTGCTGAGCTGGCTGGAAGGACGGTAGGTGTAGCCCTGAGCCCCTGGCTGCGTGGAGCTATCCCTGCTGCAGCGAAATAAGAGCTCGGGGTGCCCACGAGCCTGCGCGGGGCTCTGCAGCCTCCCACAGCCGTGCTGCCTTGAGCGGGGTCTTCTCCAAGCCCAGCTCCTTCAGGAAGGGAGCTCCGTGCCGCATCCAGTGTTCCCTTTTTCCCTGCAGCGTGGCGGAGAAGCAGGGCACGTGGCGCGGCTGGTTCACCTACACGGATCTCTGCGTCCTCATGGAGCAGTCGGCATGGCAGCAAGCCTTGGGCCAATTCTACCAGCAAGTGCTGAAGGTAATAGGGGCGTAGGGCCTGGGAGATGCTGGGTGCGGGGCAGGACTCTCTTTTTTCAACTTTTTAGTTCGGTTTTAGCCTGCTGGGGGGCTGCGGGGCTAACCCTGGGCGTCTCTGCAGCTGGCCTGCCTGCTGGGCGTGCTGTACCTCACCGGCTTCGCCTCCCTCTTCGCCTCCGTCGCCATCGTGCACCGTGCTGTCTGCACCAGGAGCTCCAGCCCCGCAGCCCTCCGCCCCGCGCCGTTCCCCGTGGGGGCTGGCTGCCAGCTGGGCGCTCGGCCGGCCCCAAACCCCGAACGGGAGCAGCCCCAGCTGCCCGCCGACGTCCCCCCGGGTGGCGGTGGCAGCAGCAGCCGCTGCCTGGGGGACAACGAGACGGCCGAGGAGCAGCGGCGCCGCTGGCGGTGTCACGGCCACCGCTCTCTACCTGTGGGGCAGTGTGATGACGGCTCTGTCTTACCCCAAAGCCCCCGACCTCACCCCACAGCAGAGCCCTCCGCACGCCCCTCTTCGGAAAGTGCCCAATGCCTGCGAGAGATCCAACCGGACCGCCCCCGCTGCTGCCCCCCGCCAGCACGACCCCTTCGGACTCAACGCGCTGCCAGCCCCTTCGGCCCTACACTGCTGCGCCTGCTCGGCCCCCGCGGGCCCTGCGTGGGCCAAATCCCCCAACCGTGAGGACTGGCTGGACCCCCTGGGGCTGAGGCAGTGCTCCTTGCACACAGCCCTGGATCTCGGCAGAATCAAGAGCTTTATTTTCCCCAGCTAGGAGCGCGGGGCGGCCCCGTTCCCCTCCCCTCCTAGCGTGGCACAACTCTCACTTTCTTGCACTTCTGGGATCCCCGATCCCCGGGGGCTGCGCGGGGCTCGCTCTCCCTGCGTTAATTCCAAACCAGCAATTTGTGTGTCCCCCCCCTCCCGTCCAGGGCAGGGGGCGTCCTTCACTTGGGGTGCTGCAGAGCTTTGGGGTTGTTGGGATGGGATGGAGCAGAGTTGGGGTGCTGGAGGGTAGGAGCGGGGTGCCCTGGAGCTGGGATGTGGTTATAGGGGCGCCGGACCTCTTCCTATAGCAGGGGGGCGGCCCTCGGTGGTGGCACGGGGCAGAGGTTGGTGTGTGGCATGTAGGATGCTGGGGCTGCGTGTGTGGGGTGGAGGGGTCGGGGTGGGGACCCCGGTGAGGGCTCTGGGAGGAGGTGAGGGGAGAGGAGGCAGGAAGAAGGGGAGCTGAGCAGCCCTATAGCTGCTTGGGGCTGCCGGGCAAATTCTCAGGGGTCACAGCGAGAGGCAGCCCCCAAAAAGCTGAGCCCCAGGTTTAGGATGTGCCCCGCTGGGCTCGGAGCTGTGGGGCTGGGCTTTGTCCTGTCCCAGGGGCCGCTTGGAAAGCGGGGTGTGCCGTGACCCCATCCCAAATCCCAGCTGGCTGCGAGCAGCAGTGCCTGACCGCTCCTCGGGGCGGGGAGACGGCGCCTGCTCACTGAGCAGCCCCTTCTTTTTACTGGGGGTTTTACACCTGTTTTTCACTCTTTTTGTAGGTGCGAATCTCTTCCAATAAAAGTAGTTCTTGCTGTGCACCGGTCGCGTCCCAAACCCCTCTGCCTCCTTCTGTGTCGCACCAGGCAGGTCTGAACTGCTTGGAGAGCCGAGCCCTGTCCTGCGGGGCCCCAGAGGGCCCGGGTTTTGGTGAGGGAGGCCAGGAGGGATCTTGGGGAGGTGGCAGAGGAGGTTCCCCGTCCGTGGGAACGCATGGGCTGCGCTGCTCTTTGCTCTCCGCCAGCCCTGCGGTTAATGAGTGAGCCACGAGCAGCGAGGGCTTCGTGTTTTGTCACTGCCGTGGTCGCTGCCCTGTGACAAAACACGGGCATCCCTGGGGAGCCCTCTCGTCCCTGCAATTCGGTGCCCTCCTGGGAGCTCCTGCCAGCACGGGGCACGTGCTGGACGCGCTTTGGAGCTTTCTTGGGGCCCCACAGAGGGGAATGGTGGAAGCTGGGGGTGCCCGTGAGGATTTTAACAGCCCCCCAGGGCATGATGGCAAGGAAAGGGCAGAGCAGGAGGGCCGGGAATGCTGTGCTGGGAGGGACAGCGTGGGCTGGAGCTGCAGGATGGTTTTGGGGATGCTGCAAGCAGGGATGGATGTAGAGGGGCAGTGTCCGGTGTGGCTGTCACCTGGTCCCATCCCAGTGTGACACTCGCATTCCTGGCCGCAGGGGCAGGTTACTCACCAACTCAGGTTAATGGCTAAGCCCGGGGCAGCTCCCGCAGGAGGTGGAAGTTCAGCCCCATACGGGCTGCGTGGAGTCCTCAGGGGGGGTGGGCCCCTGCCCCACAAGGTGGGGGAGGCAGCAGGGAGGTGGCAGCAGCATGAATGGGGGCGGCCAGCGAGCGCCTGGGGCCGGCAGCCCCGCTCTCCCGGCCTGCTCCCCGCTGAAGATGTGCTCATGGGTGCTGAGCTGCTGCCTGGCCCTGCAGGTGAGGGGGGCTGCAGCGAGGAGACGGGGTGAGGGGAGAGGGCTGGGGGCAGGACGAGGATCCAAGATCGCTTGGGGGATCTGGTCCTAGATGTCCTGGATGGAAAAAGGGACTGCGGGGCGGGCTGTGCACCCGCACGGTGCTGTGGCACGGGGTGGCACGGCCGCCCATCCTCTTCCCCGCGCAGCACCTCGCCGTGCAGGCCTCCCTGCTCTGCACCTTCCACCTGCTCCTGCTGCCTGCCCTGCCCGAGGGGCAGCCCCACAGCCCGGCTGCCGGCGAGCTGCTGGCACGCAGCCTCTTCGCCTGCGGCGTCTCCGCGCTGCTGCAGACCTCCCTGGGGAGCCGGTGAGAAAACGGGGTGACGGGGACGCAGCCCTCGATGCCGGGGCACAGGGCACGGAGATCCTCCGGCACCCAGAGTTTGGGGAGACCCCGAAGTCCCCCTTCTCTCCCTGATGTGTCCTTGCTGTCCCCCTCCCCAGCCTGCCGCTGGTTCAAATCCCATCGTTCGAGTACCTGGTCCCGGCCGTGGTGCTGAGCTCCCACCTGTCCCGCACGGACGGGAACGGGAACGGTGAGTGCAGCCCCGGGGCCTTCTCCCCGCACCCTGCAGGGCCCTGGGCCGTGTCCATGCCACCAGCCGGGCAAGCACCCTGGGCTACTGCCCCCTAATCACATCCACAACCTGTTTGGGGCCAGAAATGCAAGATTAGGGGCCTGGAGCCACCCTCCCAGGGTATGGGCTTGCAGGGATGGGGATGCTGTGCTGCAATCCCCGTCCTGCTGTGCTGTGTGCTCTGCAGGCTTCGTGCCAGGCATGCTCCCAGTGCCCACACACCTCGCATCCATCCCAAATTCCCTTCCAGGCACGGCTGCGACCTCGCTGCGAGAGGTGGGTGCTGCTGGGAACCTATCCCGCTCCCCCTGCACCCCAATTCCTCCCTGTCCAACCCCTGCCATGGGGTTGCTGCGAATAGCGAGGCAAATCTGCCCCATCCTGGGTCTCATCCTTTCCCCCACAGGTCTCCGGAGCCGTGGTGGTGTCGGGGCTGATCCAGGTGGCTCTGGGGATGTCGGGCGTGTGCGGCTGGGCAGCGCGGCGCTGCGGGCCCATGGTGCTGGCCCCCAGCCTCTCCATCATCGGGCTGAGCGCCTACAAGGACGCCGCCTCCCTCTGCTCCGCCAGCTGGGGGGTAGCCCTGCTGTAGGTTACCCCGGGGGCAAGTCCTTTCTCTGTGGGAATGGTGCAAAGGCACGAATTTGGGGCCCCGTCTCTGTGGCACCGCTCTTCTTCTCCTCCTCCTAGGCTCATGCTCCTCACCGTCACCTTCTCGCAGCACCTGGGGTCCTGCCGCCTGCCCTTCTGCGCCTGGCCCCGTGCCCCGGGGGGCTCCGTGGAGCCGCCCGTCCCCACCCTGCGCACGCTCTCGGTACGGCTGCCTGGAGCCCTGCTCCTCTCTCTGTCCGCAGGCTCCTTTCTGATCCTGTAAGGGTTGGGTGGCACCCAGTGGAGCAGAACGGGGTGTCTGAGTTTCTCCTTGCTGCCTCGCAGGTCCTGCTCCCCTTCGCCGCCGTCTGCATCGTCTGTGCCATCCTCCAGCACCTCCGCGTCCCCTGGGACTCGCCGGACCCGAGCACAGCACGCTTCCCCTGGGCCAACAGCACCTTTCAGCCCCCTTGGCTCCAGCTGCCCTATTCAGGTGGGCTGGAGGCCGGGCCGGGCGAGGCCGTTTCACCCGGGCAATGTCACCTGTCCCCTCTCCTCCGCCGCAGGCGAGTGGCCGCTGCTCACCCCCCGGGCGCTGGCGGTGGGCATCGCCATGGCCGTGGGCTGCAGCGTGAACTCGGCGGGCTGCTACGTGCTCTGCGGGAGGCTGCTGCGGGCTCCCCGGCCGCCCCGGGACGCCTGCAACCGGGGGCTGTGCGCCGAGGGGCTGGGCAGCCTCCTGGCCGGGCTGCTGGGTGCCGCGGGGGGCACGGCCTCCAGCGTCGCCAACACCTGCGCCGGTGGCCTCACGCAGGTAGAGGGGCTCGGGGGGGGGCAGAGAAGGGGATGGAGGGGGTTCAGTCGCTGCTGCACCCCCCAGGATGGACGGGGAGGTGTAGGGCAGGGTGTGCTCCCCATCCTCACCCTCTCTCCTTGGTGCCAGGACGGCTCTCGGCTCTCGGTGCGGGTCAGCGCGGTGGCGTGTGTGGCGCTGGGCACGTCCCCGAGGCTGGCGGTGCTCCTCACCCGCATCCCGCTGGCGGTGCACGGTGCGTGTCCCCTCCTCCTGCCACCCTACAGAGCAGAACCGGGGCGTTCCCGCATCCCCATCCCTCCTGACCCCTGCCCCCGTGCAGGTGGGGTGCTCTGCGTCACCTACGCAGTGGCCGTGGGCACGGGGATCTCCTACTTCCAGTACGCTGACATCGACTCCGGGAGGAACATCTTCATCGTCGGCTTTGCCATGTTCATGGCGCTGCTGGTGCCGCGGTGGCTCGGCGCGGCCCCGGCACACTTGGCCACAGGTATTGGGGGCGTTCCCCGGGGAGGGCAGCCACATGTCCGCAGTGTGCATTGAGCCCCTGACCTCTCCTGTCCCTTCCCCGCTGGCTGTGTCCCTGCAGGCTGGGTGCCCCTGGACCTCCTCTTCCTCTCCCTGCTCATGGTTCCTGTCTTTTTAACCTGGCTTCTTGTCCTTCTTCCTGGAGAACACGGTCTCAGGTGAGGGGGTGCTCTGGGTCCCCCTGCCTCTGACGGGGATGGGCAGGGAGGGCGCAGCAGGGAAGGGCTCCCATGGCCCTGCTTGCAGGAACCCCGGAGGAGCGAGGGCTGCTGCAGAAAACCGGGGCTGGCGACGGAGAGAGGGGCAAAGCCAGCTCCGTCTACGGGCTGCCCGCCGGGCTGAGGAGGCTGCTGCCCTCCTGCAAAGCCTTCCCCTGCTGCTTCCTCTGCCCGGAGCGTGAGGAGGAAGAGGAGAAGGAGGAGGAAGATGAAGAGGATGGCTGCCGTGCGGCCGAGGAGGGGACTGCTGCCGCAGGGGAAGGGACACGGCTGCTCCTGAAGCCCGGCAGCGGGGAGGCGCAGGACAGGCAGCCAGGCCAGGAGGAGATGCTTGCATGGCACACGGGGGCCTGACTTGTGTGGGGGGGACAACACACCTCGTGGGGGGACCCCTGGAGGGTTGTCCCTCCAAGGCAGCTCGAAAACCTCTCCGCTCAATTTCGGAAGCCTCAGGAGAGCCCTGCACTTTCACACTCCCGTCACGGACCTCATTTCCCTGCTTCGGAGGGGAGCTATAAAAAAAAAAAACCTTCAACCAGCTTTGCCCTGGGGCTTTCCTTTCCAGCCAGGGATCCGTCCTCACCCCGTGGATGCTGTCACCCTCCGGACGCTGCTGGGGAAGTGCTCGGTGCTTTGGGCAGCCCCAAAAGGCCACGGGTCCCAGCCTCTGCCTTCCTGCTGGCACCCCGTAAGGCAGGGAGAAACACCCAGGGCAAGGCATTGCCCCTCCAAAACCCATGCCAGGGTGCTGGGATCTGGCGTGGGGGGGCACAGGGTTTTGCTACTCATCCCCCACAGCCCCCAGCCTGCTCCCAAATTTGGCCACTCAGCCAGGAGCACCGTGTCCACCCCACGAGGGATGGAGCTCCCCATGCGCCCCCCAAGTCCTTCCTTAACAGCAGCAGCGCAAGCCTAAAGCAGGGAAGGGCTGCTCCCCACATCTTTTTGGGGCAGCTTTAGAGCTGCCGAGCTGCCACAGGCCCCTCTCCTGCCCCACGGCCACGCATCCAGGCCCTGACCGTCCCGGGGAGCCGTTCCCATTTCCCCGTGCCGGTGAGCAGCGTGGCGCTGTGCGTCCTGGCGTGCCCTGGCCGCTCTCGGCACGGAAGAGAGCAGCCTGCTGGGAGCTGTAGTCTGCCCCTCGCCTCCGGCACGGCCTCGCTCAGCTCTGCAAAGCCGTCTCCCCACGGCTCCGGGCTGCCTGCTCCTCTTCTCCTCGGGTAACGGCACCCACGGAGCCCCGGTGCCCAAAAACCCCTCCGGGGAACCCGCTCCCCCCAGGCAGAGCAGGGTGCTGCGGGCTGCAGGGGGGCTTGTGCTGAGCTGGGCTGGGAGCTGCCTGCACCCTGCTCCCCAAAACGCCTGCCCCAGCGGAGCTGCGTGGCCCCGGGCTGCGGGGAGGGGGGACGGCATCACAGAGGGGGCGGCGGGGACCGAGGGTCCCCGTGAGGCCACCCCACAGAGGGGGCGGGGGGTGAGGCAGAGACCTGTTTGATCTCTTGCAGATGGAGGGCTCCGAGGAGCTGGAGAGCAGGCTCCTGACCCAGCCCTGGGCTTCTGTTTGCTTTGGCGAGTCCGCTTTGATTGCCAAAGCTTGCTTCGGGGACACTGGCTACGTCCTGCTGCTCTCCGACCTCAGCAGTGTCTGGTACGAGAGTGCCGACGCGGAGGCCGTGGGGCAAAGGTCCAAGGTGAGTGTCTGGGACGTTCAGGGACCTCTTTTCCTCCTCACACCAGCTGGCAGCCCGGCTCAAACTGCTTGCTGGCACAGCAACCCTCGGGTCCTGTCGGATTGGGGTGCGCACACCCCTCACTGGCAGGCCCCGTGTGGCTGCGCCCCAGCACCGTCCCCCTGCGCCCTCCTCCTTGCAGCACGGCCGGGCTGTTGTGCGTGCCCTGCAGGCTCGTTTCACTTGTGGGCTGGATGGGAAGCAGCTTTCCCAGCTCCAGCAGGAGGTCACAACAAAGCTGCCTCGGCTCCCAGCCCGCCGTGTGGCACGTGGGGGGGAGCTGTGCTAGTGGGGACCTCCACACCCTGCTCACCACCCAGACCTCCGGGTTTGCCAAGGTTCAGCTCTCCAGGGCCCCGCTAAACGCCTCGCTTTGCCTTTCCCCAGGAGCTGAACAAGCGGCTGACGGCCCACGTCTCCTCCTTCCTGCACCGCTTGGCCAACCTCATGTCCCCCTTGCTGGCCGGGCAGCCCGACCCCGCCACCTCCTTCTCCTGCCAGCGCACCGCCGGCGGGCTCAGCCTGAGGTTGAAGAGCGAGCTCTCGGGCCTGCCCTTCTACTGGGACTTCCACTGCTGCCCTGCGCCCGTGGAGATGGTGAGATGAGGGCACCTTCCCCTGCGGGGGCTTGGGGAAGGTGCCCGGTGCCCGGTGCCAGCTCCGCTCGCTGGTGCCCCAGCAGGAGAGACGCCCCCCCTAGGAGCACCCCTAGGAGCACCCCACTGGGCTGCAGCCCAGGGTGGCCGGGACCGAGCCTGCAGACCAGGGGCCCATCCCCGGGAGGGCTCCCGGCCCCCCGAGACCCTACCCGGGAGGGCTCCGGGCCCCCCGGGGCCGTGCGCCCTGCGCGCACCAGAGGGCGCCCGGCACCCGCCGTAACGCGCCGGGTCCCGGCCCCGCAGCCAAAACCAGGGCTCCGCGGGGCTCCCGGGCCGGGGGGGGTGGGCAGGGGGCGGCTGTGGGGCTGTGGGATCTGGGAGGAGGTGGGCTGCAATGGGGGGCTGCATCTTTCCTGAGCCTTAGCGGGGGACCCCCTTCTGCTTTTGGTTTCACCTCCTTGGGAGGGTTTCTCCTCTCCCTCCAGCTGCAGTGGGGCGTCTTGGGTCCTGTTTTTCCCCCGGCCTTGCCTGTTCCCTGGGTAGGAACATGGCTTGGGGTGCACAGAGCTGTGGGGAGGATTTGGGGGACATATAGGGGGGCTTTCTGCCTCCTGCTGCATCCCAAGGGATCTGTGGGGCATTGCCACCGCACCCTGTCCCTGCTGGGCTCTTCCCCTTTTGCTGCGAAGCTGGGGACGCAGGGATGTGTCCTGCAGCCTCCTGCCTCCCTTCTCACACTTTTGGACCCCCCCTAGGTGTCCCGCCACCTCGTGCGGCCCCTGATTCGGATGAGCCTGGCGCTGCAGCACCAGGTGCAGGAGCTGAGCACCCTGCTGCTCCAGAAGGATGCTGAGATCGAGGACTACAGGGAGAGCGGGGCCGCTCTGAGCAGAGGTGAGGAAGGACGCCCGGGCCAAGCGCGGAGCGAGCAGCGAGCTGGCATGCGCTGCTCCCCCTGGCTATCACCCAGCCGGGCTTGTGTTTCATCTCCAGCTGCTCCGGTAGCCAGGAGGCTGGGGAGCAGCCCCTGGGGGGAGAGCACGGGGAGGAGCGGCCCTTGACCGGTAGCCGGAGGATTTGGGGAGTCGCCAAGGGGCTCTCCGCTTTGCTGAGAGCACCTGGCTGCTCCCCAGGAGCCTGTGCCGATGCCAGCGGGGGCTGGCCCTGGAGCCGAGTCAGGCTCCTTCCCGCAGGCAGCAGCTCCTGGAGAGCAACCAGAGGCTCCCAGCTCCGCGCTGCGGGAAGCACAGCTGTGTGCGCGGGCCCCCGGCCAGCACACAGCCCCGTGCTGCCAGCAGGGATGGGCAGGCAGAAGCCCCCTTGCTGTAGGATGTGGGTCAGGTCCTGCCGTCCCCCAGGTGCCCCCCGTCCCCGAGGGTGGCCAGAGGCACTGGAGCTGCCCCAGTGATGCTGGTGGGCAGGTGGCCTCTCTTGTTTCTCTCATCCCTTTGCTGGCCAGGTGCTTCTCCAGACAGCATCTTTGCAGTGACGGGGTAAAAGTGATGCTCTGAATGAGGCAGAGCGAGGGGTAGCAGCGGTTGGGCCTTGTCCTGCTCCAGAAGCTGGGAGAAGGCACCAAAATATGATCACCAGCCTCTGCCAGGGCAGAAACCAGGCTCTGGGGACGCAGGGCTGCGCTGGAGGAGCAGCTTGAAGGGAGTCCCCGTGGGCTGGGGAAGGTGAGGGTGGGCTGGGGGGTCTGGCCAGCCCTGCCCGGGCTGATCCCCGCTCTCCCTTGCAGACCGCCTGAGGACAGAGCCCTTCCAGGAGGAGTTGTTTCTGCAGAGCTTCATGGCCAGGGTAAGGAGAGCCGGCACCAGTAGCCCCAGTGCGTGCTGTGCCGGGCTGGATGGGGAGCACTGGGGGGTGGCTGGAGAGGGGCAATGCTCAGTGGTCGTGCACAGCCAGCTGCCTGCAGAGCTTCTGAAAACCAGAGATGGTCCCACTCTTCCAGGAGAGGCATCCAGCGCAGGCAGCTTTCGCTCCCCCCTTGGTTATGATGGATAGAGATGAATTCATTGCTGGGCTGAAACTGGGAGGTTGCCTAGGGACCGATGATCACGACCAGATTACATTCACCCTGGGCAAAGAAAGGACATTCCTAAACAGTAATTTATATCCTCCGTGCTTTGAAAGGGCTAATTTCCCAAAGCAGGGGGAAATTATGAGTGAAATCAGCTCGGAGGAAACGTTTAGATAGAAAAATGTGAATGAAAATTGTGAGCTCTTTGAGAAGAATCTCAGAAGCCACAAAAAGCCACAATTCCACAATCAAGAAAGAGGGCAGCGCTGGCCGAAAGCCCGTTCTGGTTCAGCGGCGAAGTGAAGGTAGCAATTAGAAATAAAAGAGCAGTTTATAACAAATGGGAGAGCGGGAGCAGATAGCAATCAATATAAATTAGAAATTATGAAGTGTAGAAAATGGATAACAGAAGCTAAAGGCGTCGGGGAAACATCACGGCGAAGGCCGGGAGGAAAGGGTTTCATTTGGTGCGTTAGGAGAAAACCCCAAAGCGCGGGGAAGGGCTAAGCCTATTAGCAGCTGGGGGTGGTGAGATGATGGATACTGAGGGTGGCTCATCCTGGGGAACGTGGAGCTCCCGTGGAAGATTTGATGAGATGATCTAATTAGCTCTGCAAACGGGCAGGTGTTTTGGGGCCGCTGTGTGATTTTCTACTTGATTGGCGAGCTGCAAGAGGGGCTGGAGAGGCAGGGGTCCCTCCGAGCAGGGCGCTGGGAAGGCTGCCACCCCCTCCCGTGCCGGGGTCCTCAAAAAGACACCAGGCAACGAGCGCGGAGTCGCAGGAATGAGCTGAGAGCCCGGCAGCGGGGAGGGTTTGGAAGGGAAGAGCTGCGTCTGGCTTATCAGAAAACCGAGAGGCGCCCCGCTTGCGGTGCGTGAGGGGCTGTGCGAGGAGAAAACGCGAAGAGGGGAGCGAAGGGCTGCCTTTCATCTGGCGGAGAGCGGCAGGAGGCGAGCCAGGCGCTGCGAGCCGGAGCCAGGCAATTTCCAGCGAGGTCGCAGGCACATGGTTCTGCTTCCGAGGGCGATTAGCGACTGGGACGCGCTCCCAAGGGCAGCGGTTGCCTCTCCATCCCTTGATGTCTCCGAAAGCGGGCCGGGAGCCCGCTGGGAAGAGAACCAAGATATTGGGGTGCGTGTGGTTAGACAGCCGTGGCCGGGAGGTCAGAGGAGAGCTCGGCTCGT